CCCAACAAAGAGGTGGATTAATTTGCATATGCAGGCACCAAGTGGCTGGGGGCAGGGCAGGATGCTTGCATTTTCACCATACCAATGACACAGGTGTTCTGCACTGCCCCAGCCACTCCAGGCCTCTGGGCAGCATGAGAAAGCAGAAAGATAGCTTCAGGCCAGAGCAAAAAGGCAGCTCTGGCTGGAGTGAGGGTGGTGCCAGCAGTCAGGGAAGGAAGGCCCATTCTTGCACGAATCTTTCATGCTTCAGGCCTCTAGTTAACTATAGTCACCATTACTTATTAATCTTGTAACAGGAAGTTAGTACTTTCTTACCACTTTCACCCATGTTCCCTGTCCCTGGCAACAACCAATCTATATCCTATTTCTGTGAATTCAGTCTTTTAGATTCCTCATTAAATGATATCACACAGTATTTGTCTTTCTCTGTCTGACTTAATTCACTTAGCATAATGCCCTCTAGCGTTATACATGCTGTTGAAAATGGCAGCATTTCCCTTTTAATGGCTGATGGGTGTTCCACATGGGCTTTCCCTGTCGTGGCTAGGGCACGTAATGCTACAGTGAACGTGGCTGTGAGTGCATATGTCTTTTTGAGATAACCTTTCCCTTCAGTAATGTATGCTGCAAGTGGAATTGTGGCATCATTGGTAGATCTATTTTTAATTTTTTGAGGAATCTCCATACTGTATTCCATAAGGGCTGAATGAATTTGCCAACCTGCATAGATTGGGTAATAAAACAGACTCTATGGCCTTGGGCTCTCTGGCTGTGGACCCAAATCAAGCAGGACTGCCCACTGAGCTTGGCCAGATGGGGCCACCCTCTCAGCTCAGCCATGCTTTGGGGTTTTCATAATGGTGTCTTGTGTATGGAGTGTTGCTAGTAGATCACCTGAGGATATTTTTCCCCATTAATTTTTAGAGAGAGTAGAAGGGAGGAAGGGAAAGAAAAAGAGCAAGAGAGAAACATCCAAGTGAGGGAGACACATAAACTGATTGCTTAACACACATATCCCAATCAGGGCCTGGGATTGAACCTGCAACCTAGGTACGTGCTCTTAACAGGAATCAAATCATTGACCCTTTGGTGCACAAGCAAATAATATAACCACAGAGCAATACCACCCAGTGCTGTACCACAGCTTTTCTTTCATTCATCCGTGATGAGCACTTGGGCTGCTTGCTGATCTTTGCTATGGCAAGTAATGCTGCATGAACTTAAGAATGCATAAGACTAGAGGCCTGGTGCACAAAATTTGTGCGGGGGTGGGGGAATGGTGTGTGTCCCTAAGCCCAGCCTACACCTTCTCCAACCTAGGACCCCTCCAGGGATGTCCAACTGCCCATTTAGGCTGGATCCCAGTAGGATCGGACCTAAATGGGCAGTTGGACATCCCTCTCACAATCCAGGACTGCTGGCTCCCAAACGCACAACTGACTGCCTGCCTGATTTCCCCTAACCGCTTTTGCCTGCCTGCCTGATCATTCCCTAACCAGTCCCCTGCCAGTCTGATTGATGCCTAACTGCTTCCATACCAAGCTGATGGCCACTAACTGCCCTCCCCTGCCAGCCTGGTCACCCCTAACTTTTCTCACCTGCCAGCCTGGTCACACTCAATTGCCCTCCCCTGCTGGCTTAGTCACACCTAACTGCCCTCCCCTGCTGGCCATCTTGTGGCAGCCATCTTCAGTCTACATGGGGGCAGCCATATTGTGTGTTGAGTGATGGTCAATCTGCATAGTACTCTTTTATTAGATAGGATAGAGGCCTGGTGCAAGGTGGGGGCTCACTGGTTTGCCCTGAAGGGTGTCCAGGATCAGGATGGGGGTTGTCTTGGGGGCATGGGTGGTTTTCAGGTTGGCCACCCACCCTAACAACCCGAGAGGAGGCCCTGGTGTCTGAGATTTAGTTATCTTCTATAATTGAAACTTTCTAGCCTTGAGTGGAGTCCAGGGCAGGTCAGAGCAGGGGAAGCTTGCCCAGCTCCATGGCCACTGCCATCTTGGTTGGGTTAATTTGTATACTCTCTCCTGAATGGCTGGTGGGTGTGGCTTGTGGGAGTAGTGGCGATACAGACAATTTGCATGTTTTTCTTTTTTTAGATAGGATCTGCTTTATCTTCTTGGCCCCAAATTTCAGCTGTCCTCCTGGTAGCCCCCCAAAATTGGAGTTAAGTGTTCAAGGTCACACACATAGTGATAGAACTAGGAAATCAATCTTGGCTGTCTGTCCTTATATCTGAGATATAATAACCTACCAAGCCACCCACCCACACCATGAGGGAAGGGTTTCTTTGTTTTGTTTCCCGTTGTACACCCACACTTAACATGGCACATGTTAGATATTCAGAAAATATTCATTAAATGTAAGAATGAATCTGCTCCCATTAGTAATGTTGTTAATGTAGGTATTTCCAATCTCACAAATTATTTTATTCTTTTTTTAAAATTAAATTATTATCTGTGTACATATCTTACCATTGCCACCCCTCCCCCCCACTCCCATACATGCCCTCCCTCCCCAGAGTTTTGTGTCCATTGGTTGTACTTATATGCATGTGTCCTTCGGTTGATCTCTTATCTCCCCCAGATCTCCCTAGCCTCCCTGCTATAATTTGACAGTCTGTTTGTTGCTTTACTGTCTCTATATCTATCTTTTGGTTTATCAGTTTATAATGTTCTTTATTATTCATAAATGAGATGTTTCTCTTTCATTGACTGGCTTATTTCACTCAGCATGATGTTCTCTAATTCCATCCAGGTTGCTGCAAATGATGAGAATTCCTTCTTTTTTGTGGAAGCATAATATTCCATTGTGTAGAGGTACCATAGTTTTTTAATCCAATCATCTGCTGATGGGCACCTAGGCTGTTTCCAAATCCTAGCTGTTGTAAATTGTGCTGCTATGAACATAAGGGTGCATATATCCTTTCTGATTGGTGTTTATAGTTTCTTGGGATATATTCCTAGGAGTGGGATTACTGAATCAAATGGGAGTTCCATTTTCAGTTTTTTGAGGAAACTCCATACTGTTCTCCACAGTGGTTGCACCAGTCTGCATTCCCACCAGAAGTGCACAAGAGTTCCTTTTTCTCTGCAACCTCGCCAACACTTGTCGTTTGTTGATTTGTTGATGTTGGCCATTCTGACAGGTGTGAGATGGTACCGCATTGTTGTTTTGATTTGCATCTCTCTGATAATTGGTGACTTTTTCATGTGCCTCTTGGCCTTCCTTCTGTCTTCTTTTGAGAAAATACTATTTAGGTCCATTGCCCATTTTTTAATTGGCTCATTTACCTTCCTTTTATTTACTTGTATAAGGTGTAGATAGATGTCGGAGATTAAACCTTTATCAGTGATAACATTTGCAAATATGTTCTCCCATACAGTGGGCTTTCTTGTTGTTTTGTTGATGGTTTCTTTTGCTGTAAAAAAGCTTTTTATTTTGATGTAATCTCATTTGTTTATTTTCTCTTTAGCTTCCATTACCCTAGGGGCAGTGTCAGTGAAGAAGTGACACTTTGCTGCCTTTGGATGCCTCTAGTATTTTTATGGTTTTCCGTCTTATGTTTAAGTCCTGTATCCATTTTGAGTTTATTTTTGTGTACGGTGTAAGTTGGTGATCTAGTTTCATCCTTTTGCATGTATTAATATCTTTCCAATTTTCCCAAGACCATTTATTGAAGAAACTGTCTTGACTCCATTGTATGTTTGTGCCTCCTTTGTCAAATATTAATTGAGCATAGTGATTTGGGTTGATATCTGGATTCTCTCTTCTATTCCATTGATCTATATGTCTGTTATTGTTCCAGTACCAGGCTGTTTTGAGAACAGTGACTTTGTAATACAGCTTGAAATCTGGTATTGAGACACCTGATTTTTAAGTGGGTCTAGCTTTGATTATTTATTACACTAGGGTCAATTTGTGGTTTAGCCTCTGGGTGGCAATGTTTCTGGGTTGACTTCCAGGGCTCTAAAGCCTCTCTTGCTTTTTTTTTTTTTTTTTTCCTCTCTGTGACACTGATCTGTGGAGTGGGGGCAAGTCAGAGCCAACTGCACTCACTGTAATTCTCCGGATATGCCTTTGAGTCAGATCAAAACGTGTTGCTCTTTAGATATCTCCCCTATTAGGAGCCCCGTTCACAGTCACGGGTGATACCAGCCCAACAGCTCGGAGCTTCTTGTAAACACTGCCCCAGCCCTCCAGCTTCCACAAGCCCCCTCGGGGACCCACCCTATCTCCGTGAAATGTGACCTTTTTGTCCTGTGGTGGAGCGCTCCTTTGAGTCCACGTGTTCGTGCCGCCTGGGACCAGCGTTCTGGGGCTCACAGTTGCTCTGCGGTCGCTGTGGCTGTGGGTATTCAGGCCTCTGACAAGATCCACTCTTCCTTTAAAGATGGTGAGATTTCCCAGTCCAAGCCCGTAAGCGGGGACTGTGGGTGGTTCCCTGTCAGGGGCACCCTGATCAGCAGACCCCCACTTTCTCCTGGAGTTCGCCTGTCTCTTAGCTTGCTAATAAACACTCCCAGCGTGACCCTCAGCTGCTCTCTCTGCTTCGGGACAAGGCTCAGAACCTGTCCATCTAGTCTTTCACCATTTTGTCTCCTCCTGGATCCAATTTGAAATCTCACAAATTGTTGAGTGGCATGTTGGGCTTACAGGTGGGATATTATTTTATGTTTGCTTTTAATTTGCTTTTTGCTGATGGCGATGATTTGTTCAGTATTGTTTCTGAATTAGTATTTTCCTGAGAACTGGAAACTTGCATCAGTAACTCACTGACCATTTCTTGTACATTTTTAGAAGCTCAGCGGATGCTCAGTAAATTAAAAATGTAAGGAGAAACAACTTCTCGAATATTTCAAATGTTTTTTGTTTCTGTTGTCATTCTTTAAGACTGATGAGAAAATTAAGTATTTCAAATTTAAATTGTCTAAAATTTACCTTTTTTATAGAATCTTATTTTTTTAAAAAAACATTTACTTCTTCCTTAGAGTTGAAGAATGGATTCACCGAGGTTGAACAAACTTATGGCTCTTCTGTGGAAGAATTTTATTTTAAAGGTAAGTTGAGATATTTATAGGATTATTGCAACATCTAAGAGATGGTCTTGGGAATAATCTGACAGTCCAGTCACTGCCTTTCATTCATACTGTGGCAGCTTCTGGAGTGGGGTTATCTCTTGCACATAAGTGGGGTCCTCAGAGAGTGAAAGAACAGCTGAATGACTCATAGGAGGAGAGAAAAAGACAGTCCAGGAAACTGCTGCCAGTGTACTCGTATAATTAGTCTCTCCTCCCCTCCCCACCGCCATCTGTATCTTCTTTTACGAAGAGGCTGTTAATACCAAATAGCCGGTCATTTGCAAAGTTAGTATGCTCTTCCGCTAACAGTCTTTTTTCCTCTCGCAGCGCCGGCAGTGCTGTGCTCTGGTTGCCGAGCTCTTCCTGGTGGTCCTGCTTGTGGGCATACTTCTGGTAATGCGCAGGATGGCGCCTGTCAGGAAGAGTGGGCCCTTCAATTACTCTCAGCAGCCTGTTGATCAAAATTTGCCTGCATACATCAAAGAAGTCCCTTCTAAGATGTGGGAAATGGCTTTTGTACCTTCCAAAAGTGTTGTGGTGAAGGATATCGTTGAAACTGTGAAAAGAGATTTGCAGTACAATTTTAAAGGTTAGAAATTAAGGTTTTCTGGGTGAGGGGGTGTGTGAAGCATTATTAAATTGTTTCAGTGAAGACACACTTGCAACCTTTTCACTGGGCATAATCTTCCAAGTAAAACATTGTAGGATGTCATCATAACCAGGTAATAATCTCCTAAGTATAATAACATGGCTTGGTTAAACTTGAGAGTTAAATTTTCGGATAAAAATATAGTTTCCTAGATCTCAAAGCAAATAGTAGTATTTAAAAACTAGATGATCAATTTATTTTATTCTAGATTATTGTCTAATCCTGTGATACTCAGTCTTCCTTGTTTCTAGTTGTGTGGTTTAAGCCCTGGGAAGTATAACTCCGGGATGCATGATGGTGTGTCAAAGGGACAGCATGAGCAGCAGTCCTCCTCCTGGAACCATACAAAGTTGTCAGTTATATTGCCTGGGTCACAGAGAAATGCTATATAGAAGACTGACTATTTATAATAGAATTATTATAAAAGATCCCCATTCTTCACTTATCCTCACATTCTTTTTTTCTTTTTCTTTTTCTTTTTCTTTTTTTTTTAATCTGTTGATCTCTTATCTCTCCCAGATCTCCCCCCTTCCCACTGTAATTTGACAGTCTGCTTGTTGCTTTATTGTCTCTATATCTATCTTTTGGTTCTTCAGTTTATAATGATCTTTATTATCCATAAATGAGTGAGGTCATGTGGTGTTTCTTTTTCATTGACTGGCTTATTTCACTCAGCATGTTCTCCAGTTCCATCCAGGTTGCTGCAAATGATGAGAATTCCTTCTTTTTTGTGGAAGCATAATATTCCATTGTGTAGAGATACCATAGTTTTTTGATCCAATCATCTGCTGACGGGCACCTAGGCTGTTTCCAAATCTTAGTTATTGTAGATTGTGCTGCTATGAACATAGGGCTGCATATATCCTTTCTGATTGGTGTTTCTAGTTTCTTGGGATGTATTCCTAGGAGTGGGATTACTGGGTCAAATGGGAGTTCCATTTTCAGTTTCTTGAGGAAACTCCATACTGTTATCCATAGTGGTTGTACCAATCTGCATTCCCACCAGAAGTGCACGAGGGTTCCTTTTTCTCTGCAACCTCGCCAACACTTGTCGTTCGTTGATTTGTTGATGTTGGCCATTCTGACAGGTGTGAGATGGTACCGCATTGCTGTTTTGATTTGCATCTCTCTGATAATTGGTGACTTTGAGCATGTTTTCATGTGCCTCTTGGCCTTCCTTCTGTCTTCTTTTGAGAAAATTCTATTTAGGTCCATTGCCCATTTTTTAATTGGCTCATTTACCTTCCTTTTATTAAGTTGTATAAGCTGTGTGTAGATGTTGGAGGTTAAACCTTTATCAGTGATAACATTTGCAAATATGTTCTCCCATACATTGGGCTTTCTTGTTGTTTTATTGATGGTTTCTTTTGCTGTAAAAAAAGCTTTTTATTTTGATGTAATCCCATTTGTTTATTTTCTCTTTAGCTTCCATTACCCTAGGGGCAGTGTCAGTGAAGAAGTTCTTTTGGAATATGTCTGAGGTTTTGCTGCCTGTGGATGCCTCTAGTACTTTTATGGTTTTCCATCTTATGTTAAAGTCCTGTATCCATTTTGAGTTTATTTTTGTGTATGGTGTAAGTTGGTGATCTAGTTTCATTCTTTTGCATGTGTCTGTCCAATTTTCCCAAGATCATTTATTGAAGAGACTGTCTTGACTCCATTGTATGTTCGTGTCTCCTTTGTCAAATATTAATTGACCATAGTGATTTGGGTTGATATCTGGATTCTCTCTTCTATTACATTGATATATATATATATATATATATATATATATATATATATATATATATCTGTTATTGTTCCAGTACCAGGATGTTTTGAGAACAGTGGCTTTGTAAAACAGCTTGAAATCTGGTATTGAGATCCCTCCTACTTTACTCTTCTTTCTCAGGATTGTTGTGGCTATTTGAGGTCTTTTGTTGTTCCAAATGAATTTTTGGAGAATTTTGTCTAGGTCTGTGAAGTATGCCATTGGTATTTTAATAGGGATTGCATTGAACCTATAAATTGCTTTGGAAGTATGGACAATTTGATGATGTTGATTCTACCAATCTATGAACATGGTATGTTCTTCTATCCGTTTATATCTTCCTCTATCTTTTCTTTTCAGTGTCGTGTAATTTTCTGCGTATAGGTCGTTTACCTCCTTAGTTAAGTTTATTCCTAGGTATCTTAGTTTTTTTGGTGCGATGGTAAATGGAATTGCTTTTTTAGTCTCTGTTTCTGTAGGTTCACTGTTGGTGTATAGAAATACCATAGATTTCTTGGCATTAATTTTGTACCCTGCTACATTGCCAAATTCATTTATTAAGTCTATTAGTTTTTTGATGGAGTCTTTTGTGTTTTTTATGTACAATATCATGTCATCTGCTAATAAGGATGACTTTACTACTTCTTTTCCATTTTGGATGCCTTTTATTTCCTCCTCTTGTCTAATTGCAATGGCAAGTACTTCCAGTACTATGTCAAACAAGAGTGGCGAGAGTGGGCATCCCTGTCTTGTTCCTGTTCTTAGAGGGAATGGTTTTAGTTTTTGCCCATTGAGTATGATGTTGGCTGTGGGTTTATCATATATAGCTTTTATTATGTTGAGGTATGTTCCCTGTACTCCCACATTGTTGAGAAATTTTATCAGGAAAGGGTGTTGGATTTTATCAAATGCTTTTTCTGCATCAATTGATATGACTATATGATTTTTATCTTTCAATTTGTTTATGTGATGTATCACATTTATTGATTTGCGGATATTGTACCATCCTTGCATTCCCTGAATAAATCCTACATGGTCATGGTGTATAATCTTTCTGATGTTCTGCTGGAGCCAATTTGCTAGAATTTTGTTGAGGATTTTGGCATCTAAGTTCATAAGGGATATTGGCCTGTAATTTTCTTTCATTGAGTTGTCTTTATCTGGTTTTGGTATTAGGGTGATGCTGGCTTCATAGAAGGAGTTTGGAAGTGTTCCTTCCTCTTGAATTTTTTGGAATAGTCTGAGGAGGATAGGTTTTAGTTCTTCCTTGAATGTTTGGTAAAACTCTCCTGTGAAACCATCTGGCCCTTGGCTTTTGTTTGCTGGAAGCTTTTTGATGACTGTTTCAATTACTTCCCAAGTCACTGGTCTATTGAGGTTTTCAGATTCTTCCTGATTGAGTTTTAGAAGGCTGTATTTTTCTAGGAATATGTCCATTTCCTCCAGGTTGTTCAGTTTGTTAGAATAGAGTTGTTCATAGTATTTTGTTACAATCCTTTGCATTTCGGAGGGGTCTATTGTTATTTCACTTCTTTTGTTTCTGATTTTGTTTATTTGGGTCCTCTCTCTTTGTTTCTTGGTCAGCCTGGCTAGAGGTTCATCAATCTTGTTTATGCTTTCAAAGAACCAGCTCTTGGTTTTGTTGATCTTATATGTTGTTTTTTTTTCGTCTCTATGTCATTTATCTCGGCTCTGATTTTTATTATTTCTTCCTTCTGCTTACACTGGGCTTTTCTTGTTGCTTTTTTTCTAACTCTTTCAGTTGTAGAATTATATAATTTGTTACCATTTTTTCTTTGTGTGTTTTTTTTTTTTTTTTTTTTTTTTTTTTTTTTTTTTGCAATAGGCTTGTAGAGATATGAACTTCCCTCTCAAAACTGCTTTTGCTGTGTCCCATAGATTTTGGATTGTTGTGTTTTCATTGTCATTTGTTGCCAGGATGTTTTTAATTTCTTCCTTGATTTCTCTGGTAACCCAGTCCTTGTTTAATAGCATGCTGTTTAATCTCCATGTGTTTGATTTCTTTGGATTATTTTTATTGTAGTTAAATTCCAGTTTTATGCCACTATGATCTGAGAAGATGCTTGATATGATTTCTATCTTCTTGAATTTGAAGAGACTTTGCCTATGTCCCAACATGTGGTCTATCTTTGAAAATGACCCATGTGCACTTGAGAAGAATGTATATTCTGTGGCTTTATGGGGGAATGTTCTGAAGATTAATTCAATCTCGTCTAGTGCGTCATTTAGGATTGATATTTCTTTGCTGATTTTTTGTTTAGATGATTTGTCAAAGGTGACAGTGGGGTATTAAAATCTCCTACTATGATTGTATTGCTATTAATCTCTCCCTTAATGTCCTCCAGCAGTTTTTTTTATGTATTTGGGTGCTCCTGTATTGAGTGCATATATGTTTACCAGGGTTATTTCTTCTTGTTGGATTGCTCCCTTTAGTATTATGAAGTGGCCTTCATTATCTCTTGTTATGTCCTTCACTTTGAGGTCTAATTTGTCAGATATAAGTATTGCTACCCCAGCTTTTTTTTCATTTCCGTTCTCCTGGAAAACCTTTTTCCATCCCTTCACCCTCAGTCTGTGTGTGTCTTTTTTTCTGAAGTGGGTTTCTTATAGACAACAGATATATGGGTCTTATTTTCTTATCCAATCTGTTACTCTATGTCTTTTGATTGGAGCATTTAGTCCATTTACATTTAAAGTTATTATTGATAGGTACTCATTTGACGCCATTTTTATTCTATACCCCTGTGTTCCTTCTTCACTTCCTATTTCTTTATTTTTACAGTAGACCCTTTAGCATTTCTTGCATTGCTGGTTTGGTGGAGATAAATTCCTTTAATCTTTTTTTGTCTGTGAAGCTCCTGATTTCACCTTCAATTTTGATTGATATCCTTGCTGGGTACAGTATTCTTGGATTCAGACCCTTCTTTTGCATGACTTTGTATATTTCATGCCATTCTCTTCTGGCCTGATGGGTTTCTGTTGAGAAATCAGTTGCTAGTCTGATGGGGGTTCCTTTATGTGTAACTTTCTTTCTCTCTCCGGCTGCTTTTAAGATTCTTACTTTGTCATTGTTATTTGCCAATTTAATTATAATATGCCTTGTTGTTGCCTTGGTGTTGGTCTTTTGGGATTCATTTTGCTTGGGACTCTGAGAGCATCTTGGATTTGT